AACGAGTGCTCCGAATTCAAAATGCAGGGGGTCTCAAAATTATGGGCGCCTATAAAAAGCAAAATATTTTGAGCTCTCAATCTGAGAGCTGAGCGAATTTATATTTGAGTTGACTCGTGTCATGCACAATAAAATGGAACAGCCCAATTGCGAAATCTCCTTCACTGCAATGGGTGCAAGCTTCTTGAGCTCCACGCATGTTGCACACAGGTGTTCCACGTATATTTCTTCCAAGAAGTCTTTCAATGTTGTTGCCAGTGGCTCAGGACTGTGACGACAAACTCTACAGGTTTTACTTTCACTCAGTAACCACACCGAGATTGAAGTGGGTGCGGAATTGTTGAAAATAATAGCCACTCCTTTGTACTTGCAAAGTCGGACAGCTGAAACCAGCACTCTCTTGGATAAACTTGGGTCTGTGGCTCTCTTGGATAAACTTGGCTGGAGCATTTTCCTGCTAGAGGAACCTTCAAATCAATACGGGGGCCGAGTTCGGTGATCTGCAAACAATCCTTCCTCGTGGGGTAGCACTCCAAACATTATCGGCAATCTTTTGTATCTTTCAACCCTCTGCCACTTCGTGCTAAAACGAAAAGTGCGCTGGTTGCTGAGCAGTGCGGTGATTTGGACGAGCTGTGTTGCCAACAGCGGCACAACTGGAGCAACTCGACTGGAGCATGGTTTGGCATGGTGCCACCAAACGCGTTGCGGTGAACTCGTTCATACGTCCGCTTTCTGAGCTGTTACCTGTTCATGAGTGAAAACAACAACCAAGTCAAGGTGATCCCGTTTGCGATTTCTTGATAAATTTCCCTGCATATTACGCCACTGGAGCTTTCAAGTTCCCTCTGAACTTCTCCAGAACTTGTCGTGATTGCTCTTTAACAACGGCGCACTGAGCGATACACGTAGGGCACCGAATTTTGCTGTGTCAAGTTTTTTTTTTCATATTTATACCTGAATTTGGATTTTGTAATGAATTCCCTTCACATATCGTCGCATGTAGATAACGTAAAAACAGAGAAGTGAGTAAAGACATATCATCACAAGTACTATGGTGGCATTGTGCACTGTTACTAGGAGTGTAGCAAAGTGAGCTGCTTCCTGAAAATACGAACGGGTTCATAACAATAACTTTAAATTTTTCATGAGCACTGAAAGCTGTATTTGTAAACGAAAGTGAACATCATGTGGAAGAACGATCACCGGGGTAGCCTCTCTGAAAGAACATCAATCTGGTCGAACCTGGTTCCACCTGACGCACTCCACTCAACGGAAGCGGGGATAGCTTGTAACCAAAAACAATAAATCTGTTCTTTGTGCCTATTTCATTTTTCTCCCCCTCTCCCATCCCTCGCTGTTCAAGGCAAGTATAACCCCTCATCGATTTCTCGGGAGTCCCGACAGGAAGCCCGCGAAGGCAGAGACGCAAGCGGGCCAGCAAGCGAGTCCCAGCGCGTGCTGTGTGATATAGGACGTACTATAGTACATTCTGTCCATTACTATTATTTATATTCTATATTACTTGACGCGAAATGCAGGACGCGCGTAGCGACTCGTCCACTGACTCGCGTCTCTGCATTCTCGCCGTGACTCCTGTTTCGCAGCCGAATCCTTGACTGTGATTCAGATCGATGCCACTGTACGAATCTTGGGAAAAGAATCAAATCACTTGTGCTGCGTGGAAACTCAGACTGATTTCTTTTCTTCCTTCTAGGGCTAAGCCTGGAAAACTCTCGCAACTGCAAAATCCTGTTATCTCTTCAAGCACATATAAGGTTTTGCATTCCGGATAAAGCCTTTCTAAAGAACATAGAGCCACAACCCATACAAAAGTAGGGGAGCGGGAGGGGCTTGGAGAGTGGAGTGAGCAAAAAATTTCATTTTGCTCCTGGTACATCAGCAAACTATCCACGCAAACATTTCCTAGCCCAGAGTGGCGCTGTTGATGGGAATTTCACGGCAAGATATTCCTTAGATATACTCCCATGAGCAGAAGCAGTTCTTCCTCACTGCTCACAGCGTCCACAAAATATGATGTTACCCGTCACGACCTTCGATAAGAAGGAGACCTATCGTAGCCACTCCGGTCTGAAACTGCTACGTAATTTCTTCATTGGTGGCTAGCTTCCTGGAGTCACTAGCTCTGACTATGCAGAATGTTTTCCAACGGTTCCAGACAAGTTGTTATAGCCCATGATCCGTCGTGGATCTCATCTATCTATCGTACACCATTTCCTATGGAAGAATTCTTCTGTGTTTGTAGAAGGTTGTTTTGCAAGTCTAATTTTAATACAAAGTAAGTGTCCACTTGCGTCCTGCAGCACGAGCCATACTAACTTTCAAATAGTTTTAAGCACGAGCGTAAATAATATCAGTGTGTCGTTAGTAAATTGGGAGGAAGTTACTTCTTGCATCTGACATCCCCTTGTACTTCATAGATCGATTTAAAACTAGTCACCAGCAGGGACCCTAAATTGTAAGATCAATCACTCTCTGCAAAATCAGAACGGCAAAGATCCCCTCCGAAAGCTGCCGTTAGTTTTCTTTTGTAAAACTACACACAGCTAAACAGCCACATTTTACAACGAATGACATTAATGCCTTGAACCTGTCATCACATCCCCGGCGTACGATAGGTTTCGCTGCTAGAGACCTCAAAAATTTCAGCTCGTTGATCTGCTTAGATCACTCGGACAACAGTCAACTTCAGCTTTCTTTTACTGCACCATAATACTTCCACTTCACCTCACCTTGGCGGGATCGTCGGTAATCATTGGGGAGGGCATGTATGTACTGATCTTTGAATTGAATGGATGCGTTCGCGTGATGAATGGAAGAACAACCATGTACAGAACAGACAGCGCCATCCAAATCCTGATTGCTTTTCCTGGAATTGAAATAGTCGGCTCATAACCTCTAGTAATACACGGGCAGAAATGGAGTCTTTCTCGATGTCAGCCAGAATCAATAACATAAGTAGGGTATTGATCAGCAGCGCATAGCATAGCCAATGTAAAAAGGCATAACTCTGAAAAGAAAGCGAAGAAATTTCGCCAAAGGAATCATCTCGACTACTCGATTCAATGCAAGCACAGCGCAGTTGAACGAAGCTCCAGACCATACACCTAAAATTCATTGAATTTTAACGACTGAACCATTAGGCCTAGCCTATGATGTAGGTCGAGCCTTCAATGTGTTGTGACTGTCTACTGTAGCAATGTACGATGACAAAAACTAACACCATGAAAAATATCCAGCGAACCAGCTGAAAGCCATCCGATGAACAGAAGACTGCTCCAGTCTAAATGTGATTTCTATAAGAGGCATTCTGAAACATTTATCATTCCGTACTTTCATCCAGAAGTCACAATTCAGGGGCTTTCGCAAGATTCTTGGAACGGCAGCAAGGTACCAAAGAGTGGGAGTCAAAGGTAAGGGTTAACGGCCGTTTTCGGCGAGTAATGAAAGGCCCAAAATTGTGAAGACCCTGCAGGAAACAGCGAACATCCCCACACTGCTAGCAAAAATTGCATCGCCCCTGGAGCTTGAACCTTGCAATGCAACGTCTCACGAGCCCAATTATTGTCACTGCACCACAAAGCGTTTTTGTTTGCGTTGAAATCGTAAGGTGGCAACCTATGAGGGTTGCAAAACTTCAGGCATTCCGGAGTATTGATTCCGCGACCGATCTCATGTCAACGCAGAACAATCTCGTTTACGTCAACTGACCTGGGATCATAGTCATGATGTTGAATGAGAGGTGCTCCCATGCCCAAGGAAGGAGCTATAACGCGATCAATAAGTGGAACACTGCGAGGAATAGCTGATCACCTTATTGGCAGAAAGTTATCAATATTACCAATAGTTTCAGTGACGCTCTCTCTACCCGTACTCTCCGCACCTACTACTAACTCTCATTCTACGAGCCGCTCTGCGCTCTTAGCGAATCAATAGAGATGGCAGACACGAAGAAGGTCGCGCTCAGTGCGTCCAGCATATGGCCGGCAGAGAAAGAGAAATTGCATAGGGACTGCAGAGGCACAGATGATCGCGTCGAACGGGACAAAATTTACTCAGAGGTACATTTTAGTTGCGTTCAACGCGACTCTCTGCGTCTCTGCAATCCTCGCGCACTTTCCGTTGTTCTGCCGTGTTCGCGATCTGGAATAAGTGCAACCTTGTTGATTGACCACTTGATCATGTGGCCTGAACCTCGCCCATCTGCCTGAGTTTAGCGCAAGTTTCACCCCTTCTTCAAAGCATTCTGAAACGGATAAGGACGAGGTCAACGTGACCTCCTGGCCTACCATAGACATGCCGTTCTGGGGACGTTACTACCGTTCCTGGGTTTACTGTAGGACTAAGTCTAGGAAAGGTCCGGATCTTCAAGGAAAATGAAGATTGTCCGCGCACCGTGGAGTCTCTCCTCCTCCTCCTGAGAATTAGTCAAGATTTCTACGAAAATGAGTGGCTTCACGCGATTCTGAATTCACACCAAAATGTCGCCGTATTATGCGACAGCGCCCCTTTTGACTCTTTCTGATCCATTAAAAAACGTTGAATAAAATAATTTTGGAGCATGATTTTGGGTATTCTAATTAGCTTTGAGGCATGACTGCTTGACTATGGACAGTGATTTAAAATGGTTCTAGTATATCTGCCACAGCTCACCATGCTGGAAAGT